TTATTTTCAGTTTTTCAGTTGTAAATTCATTTAAAAATACCTGTGTTTGCAGAAGGACTTTTTTGGTGCTTATTTGTGAACTGCTCGTGACAAGAGAGGCATGAAAGGGGACAAACCTGAGAAGATTCAATAAAAGGGATGTGATGGACATTCTACTGTGGGATTAACTCGTTATCACCCAGCTTCCACTCATCTCTGTCTCTCCAAAAAGGACTGGTTTGATTGTTTTTTTTTGGTTTTTTTTTGGGACTCCTGAGTGAGGCCTCAGGCCCACATGGACTCAAATTGACTTTTTTTCTCTCTTTTTGTATTTGTGTATGTTGGGTTGTGGGTTAAATGGATTTCTTATGTCTGTGTAGAGGTGGGGTTGACTGATTTACATTGCATATTCATCATTTCATCATTTCAATAACACCAGAAAAAGGTTCACCATCTTTGTTGTATTTCTTATTTGCTTGTTCATTCGGAGTATAGTCCAAGACATTCTCGTTCCCTGCGTTTTTTTATAGACTCGGTAGGAAAAGGGTCCCGCTGGGTGTTATATATTTGGTGGCCCATACGAGGAATGACTTCTTTCTTCTTCCCATTTCTGATTAATAACTGCAGGCATTTTCCAACCACCACACAACATGGCAGCCACTCAGCTTGAGGTTGTGGATGGGCCTAGCCTGCCACTTGACTACACTGCTGGTCCTTTTATTACAAGGCGGGGACCTCTTAATGACATCATTAGGACTCTTAGTAGTCTGTATCTTGACTCTGAGGAAGAAGAAGATGACATCAGTGAAGGGGATGACCTAGACATTCCTCCACCTCCGCCTGAACTCCTCCTACATGACCAGCATAATCAGACTTCTCCAGCAATTGATGCTGAATGTGAGCAGAGGGTAGCAGCCCTGGAAGATAAAATGCGCATCATGTATGACCTGGACAGTAGACTGGGGGACTTACAGTAGAGGTACCAGGATCTGACCAGGAAGAAACAAGCCTTGTGGAGGAGAAGATGTGCTACAAATTGGAAAGAGAGACTAAGCGCATTATAGAGGTTGTGGAGCTCAAATTAAAGGACCTGGGTCAATCAGTAGTGGACTGTCTCAAATGCAGAGACAAGAAGATTGACAGCCTGCTATCCATTGCCATTCCTGTCCACTATGCCTCCCCTTCTACTGTCCCTGTCCACCATTCCGCTCCTACTGCTTTTCCAGTCCGCCATTCCAGAAGCCTTCATGAAAGGCATCAAGGGACCACAGAGAGCCTCAGAAACTTTGCATTCCAGTATCATGCTCTTTGCCTAAGGTGGAAACAAGACATGCCAGAAAGAGACATTGTCCAAGCCATACTGAGAAACTGTTATTCTCACCTGGCTAGCCTTTTGAAAGGTACAGTGAAGACTGTGGCAGATTTAGTGAGAGTGGGGACCCTAATTGAAAGAGATGTCTGAGATCAAGTCTCTCTTTGGGAAGGGTTAAAGGCACCTAGGGAGGTCTGGAAGCCTTTGGGAGGACAGACATTTTCTTTGGCCAGTGGGGCAGTACAGAGTGCTTTAGTCATGGTCAAATGGGACTGCAGGTTCCATGAGCGTGGGCTAAATCTGAAATGGTACGTGCTAGACAACAGAGATCTAGCATTTCCTTTGGTTCTGGGCATGGACTTCCTACACAGTGCTGGGGTGACCATTAAATTCCAGCAGTCCTCCTACCAGTTACCAGATGCAGAGGGTGTCTCCCAGGTTTATCCATTTAGCAAAACCCCAACCTCATTGCAAGACACCCTGCCACTGTATATGGCCCAGCCGTTGCCAAGTGTTTCTCAACAAACCCTGCAACATCTTGACCTGTTGAGAGACGGAGCTGATGTGGACACTTCGGACAAAGAGAGACTCCATGACTTATTGCTTCAATGGCCACAGGTGTGTACTGATGTACTGGGTTTTACTTCCAGACTCCAGCATCAGATTAACACAAACAACCAAACACCCATCAGAAAGAAAGCCTATAGAGTGTCATTGGAGAAGCAGAAGTTCATTAAACAGGAAATCAATGACATGCTGGAGAAGAATATGATAAGGTCTTCCATCTCACCTTGGGCCTCCCCTGTCATTCTGGTACTGAAGAAAGATGGTGGGATTCGCTTTTGTGTTGACTACCGTGTTTTAAATATCAAGACTCACTTGGATGCCTACCCCATGCCTCAGATACAGGAGATCTTGGAGTCCTTGCATGGTGCTCGCATTTTCAGTGCACTAGACCTGAAATGTGGGTACTGGCAAGTAGGTCTCAAAGAGGCCAGCATACCAAAGACTGCTTTCATTTCTTGTCAAGGATTATATGAATTTATACATCTTCCTTTTGGAGTTAAAAATGCTGCAGCTACCTTCCAGCGTCTGATGGAAAATGTGTTGCAAGACCTGAGAGGAAGGTGCTCCTTTGTCTATATAGACGACATTGTGATCTACTCTCTAGATGTGGAACAACATCTTTCCCATCTCAGTGCAGTCTTCTCAAGGTTACAGCAGGCAGGACTCACCCTCAACCTCAAAAAGTGCAAACTCATGCAGCGGTCATTGACCTTCTTAGGGCATGTGGTATCAGAATAGGGCATCCAGATGAGTGCCGATCCAGGCCATCCAAGACTGTCCTGAGCCGAAAAACATCAAAGAAGTTCAGAGATTTCTCGGCATGGCAGGATGGTATCATCGATTTATTCCCCAGTTTTCCCAGTGAGCTGCACCTCTTCATCAGTTGAAGAAGAAGGGAGCTGTTTGGAATTGGGGCAGTGCATGTCAAAATGCCTTTAGGGATATTAAGGAAGCCCTTCAATCTGTCTATATTCTGCAAGCCCCTGATTTTTCAAAACCTTTGTGGATCAGACCGATGCCAGCGAAAATGGAGTAGGGGCAGTTCACACAGAAAAGGCCCACTACCAGGAGCAAGTCATTGCTTATGCTTCTCGGTTGCTTAATCCTGCGGAACAGGCCTATTCACTGTCTGAGAAGGAATGTTTGGCAGTGGTATGGGCAGTTGAGAAGTGGAGGCAATACCTAGAGGGACATAAGTTCACTGTGATCACGGATCATGCCGCCCTTTACTGGGTTTTCAATCAGCCAAGGCCATCACCACGACTGACCAGATGGGCCATTAATTTACAGAGCTTTGACTTTAAGGTTGCGTACCATAAAGGTCAGTGTAATGCGGTCCCTGATTTGCTGTCACGCAGTCAGCTGGCTAGTGCTAATCTGGCGGACCCAGAGATTCAGCAACTAATTCAGGAGGTCTTCGCCCTGCTATCCTCGTGTATGCCCATGACAACCCACTCAGTGGACATCTAGGCAGAATGAAGACCCTGATGAGGATACTCAATGTGGCTTGTTGGCCTACCATTAGAAAGGATGTATGGGAGTATTGCAAACAGTGCCAGGTTTGCCAGAAGTACAAGCCAAGAATATCCAAGCACAGCGGGCTTCTGCAGTCCGCTGCTTCTGTAGAACCTGGTTACATGTGGGGTCTGGATTTTATGGGCCCTTTCCCCCGCAGCCCTCAGCAAAATGAGTATCTCCTGGTCATGGTCGATTACCATAGCAGGTGGGTTGAACTGTTTCCACTCCGTACCGATAAGACACCACAGCTTGTGTCAATTCTAATCAGAGACCATTTTACACATTGGGGAACTCCAAAGTATCTAGTTTCGGATCGAGGACCACAGTTTACTTCCCAGTTGATCCATGAAGTGTGCAAGCAATGGGGAGTAACACAAAAATTGACAACAGCTTACCATCCACAAACCAACCTCACCGAACGCATTAACAAGGTTAAGGGCTGCTTAACAAGGGCTGCTTACACAACATGATGAAGAAGAAGGACAAGATGATGAGAGGATGGAGCTATAAAAAAAAAACAAAAAAACAGTTGACTTCGATAGGCATAATATTCCAGACTGTGTCCCAGGGGAATCTTGTGACAACATTAATTAACACATGAATTCCTAATTAATTCAGGCACTGAATAAAGCCTTTATTACCTTCGTCTTCATTCATTAGTACATGTGTTAGTAATTTAGTCTTGTGGTTGTTAATATATGACTTATTCATTGGTTCCTGATTAATGACTCATTACTTTCTGATTAGTTATTCATTAGTAAATGCCTTAATTATTGCCAGTTCATGTACCCTTATTATAAAGTGTTACCAAATCTTTTAATGTTATTACATACCGTAGATGATGAAAAGCAAAAGTTTCATGTTGAGAAACGTTATTCTTGAATTGTTGCACTATTTGCTCTCACAGTCTTTCACAGAGTGGTGAACCCCTCCTCATCTTTACTTCTGAAAGCCTCTCTGGGATGCTCATTTTATACCCAATCATGTTATTGACCTGTTGCCAATCAACCACCCGTTGTTTTTTTTAAGCATTACACAACTTTACCAGTCTTTTTTTGCCCCATCCCAACTTTTTTGGAACGTGTTGTTGGCATCAAATTCAAAATATGCATATATTTCTCAAAAAACAATACAATTTCTCAGTTTCAACATTTGATATGTTGTCTTTGAAGCATTTTCAATGAAATATAGGATTTAAATGATTTGTCATTGCACTTTGTTTATATTTACATTTTTCACAACGTCCCAAGTTTTTTGGAAATGGGGTTGTAGAAAATAGAGAACACAGACCCAACGGTTATTTAACACTGAGACAACGTTTTGACAATTTGCATTGTTGGCATTTGATGTTAGGGCAGAACTGAAAAATAATGTCAGGACATTAACTTTCACTTGAGGCAGCACGGTAACCCTATCTGGACTAAGCGGTTAAAGATGATGATGATGATGATGTTGAGGCAGCGTTTACATTTGATGTGGCAATGTGGAAAAGTTGCGTAGTTTCATCTTTCAAATTCAACACACTAACCACTATTATTCAGCACTGAGACACACTGTTATCACAAAATGCATGCTGGGAAGCCACATTAAACAAGACCACTGATTTATATAAAAGAAAGCTGCTGAAGGAGAGAGTCCACCAGTTCGAGGTTTGAGAGAAACATTTCACTTGCACACAGACAGCAGACAGGTAGGTGAATCCAGCAAAGAATAACAGCTCTAAGGTACACTTTACTGTTACATGAACTGTGTATTTACATGTATGTGTTCTTGTATGTGTATGTGTGCATTTTATCAGTGTACATTAGATACTCTGGTGCAGTTTCCCCTTAATTGGGAAATGAATGATAATTTTCCATGACATCTGGGTAGCTGTTAAACCTGATTTACAGTATAGGTGTCATATCGGCATTGGTGCACAATAGAGGGGTAGGGACTACTGCTCAGCTTGAAACCCAACAACTAACAGTGATTGATAAAGCACTGAAACCAATCATTTACATCAAAGAAACTCCAAAAGCAGTCTGTCCACAATAATGTGATTGAATTACTAGCGAGCCAGTGGTCTTAACTGGCAGGGCGACAAACATAAATAAAGAGTGAACTGTACTGCAGCAGGTGAAATGCACCAATACAGGATAGATTTCAGAGGTAATTTATCATGAAAGGCATGTTTTCCAGACTAATGTATATAGAATGTTGACTACTGTGAAATAGTACAAAACACTTGCATGCACAGTATTATTGAAAATAAAATGAAAGACACAAATATCAGGGTTCCTTTCTCTTTGTAAATATTGGATTCCCAGAGTCCTCCCAGATCAAAGCCCCAGTTCATATTGGCCATATAAATATATTTTTTGTAGGAAGACTGATAAATCAGGCTTGAAACAATTGACGGAATGACTTGTTTGTTGACTTTGCAGTGCCAATGACTTTTTTTTAAAAGAAGGTGGCACTGAACCCCATCAAAAAGGATGTTTTTAAATATCTTTATTCCAGGGAAACCATGGTGAAATACACAGTTGAAGTCTTCACAGGTGATGCTTTCACTGCTGGGAACGCCAACGCGATTTTCATCAAACTCATTGGTACAAAGGGTAGCAGTGAACCACAAATCCTTGATCGCTTCACAGGCATACCAGGCTGTTCAGTAAGTTTCTTGCATTTTATTACAATATATTCTTTTTTTTACCATTACATTATGTTTAGTGATGGTTTTAAATGAGTCTTAGCATTAATCCTGGGACTGGATTCATAAAACTCTTCTCACCTTTTTAAGAACATTCTTAAACACCTTCTTTAACTTAGCCTGGCACTTATCTTAAACTGTGCCTTAAGGGAAGCTTCTGGGGTCTTTTGATATATTTAACATTATAAATAAAAGTATTTTGTAGCTTGATATTAATTACAACTGAAGCACTATGATGTAATTCTACCCAAAAAAAGTACCATTACTGCAAAAAAGTACTAGAACAGGAGTAGTTGTAATTTGTTACTGTCCACCTCTAAAAAAATGACCCTTCTTCCTGACCACACATAAAGTGTGAACATTTCTGAAAGGCCTCTAAACATCTTCTGTGCTTTGAATAAAAATAAGAAGTCCAAGAATAAGTATCAACTGACTAAGCAACTGATAATGATTCAAAACTGAAAGTAAACTTAGCAGTTGAAACATTAAAGTAAAGAAGTTGTTCCTTTTATAATTTCTATGCATATTAAACAGTCACGCTAATTGGCTACAATGGTAGACCTTTGTAGCTACCCTACTGTTGACCTCTCAAAGCCATCAGGAGCTGGCGTACAATGATGCATATACAAGAACTTGGTTCTTTAATGAATGCACAAATATAATCCTGAAGCGTCGCTGGCTGTGTTTTGGATGAAACAGTGCAATGACATAAATTAGCTCTGTATGATGATCTAGGGCAACACAGCCAATTAATTATAGCAATCACATACGTTCCCATTCGTGTTCTATTGCTTAATTATTTCCCATGACTTGAGTATTTTTGCAATGCTAATTCACCAAGATCTTTTTACAATAATGTGACTTTTCTTTGCCCAATTTTCTTGTTGATTTAGTCATGGCCAGTTCCACACACTAGCTAGGTCTCATCTATGAAACAATGCTACCAAGCTAGGAAAGTGAAGGCTTCTTCTAAGTCATGTGAAGCCAGCCCATAACTTCTTTATGAACGGCCACCAACAGAACTAGGGCTACAACTTACAAGAATTTCCAAAATAGATTAATTGGTTCATTATGGCTTCAAATAATAGATTAATTAGTCAAAAAGTCTATATTTCACATCATAATCAGTGTTTCTTTTAAGAAAGTAAAAATACAAGGATTAATTCTCCTTTTGCAAAATTGCCTTTTAAACATGCTGAGCTTTTGTCATTTTCTGCCGTGAATGTGTTTCCTTGAGAATGTCACTAATGACCGACACACTGTCATTATTCTCACAGGAAACCACTCTTAGATAAAGTTAAAATGGTGTTCCCAGATTTTGTCCTGTGCTGTAGTCTGAGCCATCTGGATTTTTCCTCTTTCATTTAAGCGGGATGTGCAAACATCAGCTAATCTATAGCAAGATTCATTGCCAACAATTTTTTATTATTGCCAGTATTGATAACGTTGATTAGCGGCAGCCTGTAAACACAGCATTCCTGGACAGCTCAATGCCGACCATTGCATTAGCAGAGAGAGAGATCAGGCCGACCTACAACTAAGAGAGAGACCGATTATACTTCCAGCCACAGATGACTGTAGCATCGCTGGGGACACTTGTCAAACAATAACATACAAACATTCAACTAACTAATCGGGTGCTTATGCACTGTATGTGGCAGAAGGTTTTCAGGGAGATGTACTTCACTCATAACTTGCATTGCATTGGCATGCCCCATAGTATCCTAACAGCATGTTAGTAATCTGAATAATACATTCTCCAACAGAAGACGCTGACTGTGTCCTGCAAAGAAAGTCTTGGAACGTTCTTTCTGGTTCAGTTGGAGCTCAAGGCACTTGTGTTTGAAGATTACTGGTTCTGTTCCAAAGTTATCGTCACTGAACCTGAAGGACGCCGGCTGCTGTTCCCGTGTTACCAGTGGTTGTCTCCTAAGAAGAAGGCAATTCTCAGAGAGGCTACAGGTTTGTAACCACAAATATAGCAGTGTAAGAATATGCTAATTTATATTTATGCTCACTCCAATATTGATCACACATATTAGGACGTGTTATAAGCTGTGGCAGATCTAGAAAATTTACCAGGGGTGGCAAAGGGGTGTTAGGGAGTTTCGACATGGTGTGGGTGAGTGGATGGGTGGGAGGGTTTAGAGGTTGCACAGTTGTAACGCCGATTGCCGACAGGGAAACAACTCTCCTCCTAAAGGTGCAAACAACTGCTTCACAGTGAGGTGGAAGCCAATGAAGTGGCAGAAATTTACAGGTAGCGTCTGGAGGGGCCGATCAGGGAGTTGGAGGAGAGACTGTGGCAGCGTGTGACGCTTTTCACTTGTATGCTTTGTCTGCAATGCATTGAGACACCATTCCTAAGTTCTAAACAAAGAGGCTCCCTTTCGCCTCAAAGACATTCCCTCAAGTCGTCATGACAGTGCATAGCTTTAGGGAGCAACTCCAAGAGTGATGCCTAAGCTGTCAGTGCTTCTAGTTTCACTGTTTTAAATGAACAGCTTTGAAAACTTTCTGTCTAACAGAAGTAATAAAAATGCTGCCTTATTGAACTGGAACATCTTGCCACTTCGAAAAATAAACTCATTTGTTACTTAAGTAATTAGCTCATTTTGGTATCTCTATAAATAAAAATATTAGTAAATAACATTATCATATATATTTCATATCATATATATTTTGATGAGTTTTTGTCTTCTCACACTAAATTTACTTCAGTTGAAGGTAATTTCAGAGCGAAATTAAACTAATTAACCACAAGGACTTTTTTTCTTGACCATTTTTTACCCACCTTTACCAAGGCCACTGATAATAATGGAACTGACTGTATATGTTTAATTTCAGAATGATTGAAAAATCAGATTTATTTGGATTTATTAATTTTCCCATTTTCTGTGTAGCTAAGTTAAGCCACAAGGACACAGAGGAGCCATTCGCCATTGACGTGAAGATGTTGCAAGAAAATGTGAGGACTTCAGGTAAATGACATCCCTCCAAAATCAGTCTAACCAGTCTGATGTGATGTGTTTTCCTCTTGCCCCGTGTTGGAAGTTTGATTCTTTTAGTTTTGCACCGGAGTTTTGCGGCTAATGCAGCAAATAAGTTATGGAACCCTACAGCCACCAGCTTAGCACTGTGCAAACTGCATACTTACACACATAAAAAACAGTATAAGAGAATAACAGAATATAGAGAAAACAAAATGAAATAAAAATAGAAAATTCTAAAAAAAAATAATAAAAGTAACAATAAAAAATACAGAAAATACAGATGAAGTAGAAACAACAAACTGGGTAAAAGCTCAGAGTTATATTTATATTATATTTATTCTGATCACACTGATGTCCCAAAATGCTTGTCTTTAAGCAGTTAGGACTCACCTTCTCCATCTGAACTTCCAGTTCTTCTTAAAAGAATTTCTTCTTTCTCTGTTTTACTCTGCCTACAAGTAGTAACGCACTTTGTGTGGATGTTTCAATGGCTCATGTTCGAATTATCACATTTGTGGCTTATCATGAATTATCATTTAAATGGCTGCTCAAAGTTACCCTCACATTTGGTTTTTGCACACTTCACATGTGAAATATAAGTGACTTTTCTGTAAGAGTAATCAGGTGCACACTAGAGCCAGCTGCAGGAGCTAAATTTAGTAAATCTGCCCCCAAGAGTCCAATCCTGGCAGTTCTTTGTTGACGCAGTACACAATATTTATTTTTCCCTAAAAATGATGCCGTTTTGTGGGGTTTGTGCAAAACTCCTTTTCTTCCAGCTCCTGTTGGGTTTAATCTCCTTCTTAATTTCTGAGCATTGCAAAAATATTTTGTATTTTGTGAATTTAACTGTATTGTTTTGTGGTTGCCCTGCGATGGACTGGCGACCTGTCCAGGGTGTATCCTGCTTTCCGCCCAATGACAGCTGGGATAGGCTCCAGCACCCAACCGCGACCCAGAAGGATAAGCGGATTAGATGATGTATGTATGTATGTTGTTTTGTGGTTTTACCATCAGAAGCAGAAGAGACATTTAAAGCAAATTGTAAAATTCTATTAACAGTAGATTCTCCTTGGTGAAATCTAAAAGTGGGCGTGGTCTGTGACCATATCATATGCATTTACAACAGTGTGACGGTGTGTGCTGTGTGTCTTGCAGATGGAGTGTGTATGACTCTGAAATGCCTCACAATGTACAGGTGGACTCAGCAAACAGTTTGCCTTATGAGATCAGATTCTCCTTCACGAAATAAAAGTTCCAGTACTCACTGTTGAGAGCGTAGGTTCCACCTTGTAGCTGTAATTTAATTAATGTGTGTGTTGGTGGTTCATGTTTAACACATCTTGCTATTTTTCTTATTGTATTTCAGTTCACTGGATATAAAGCTGAACAACTTTCATCATCCTACAAACACATGGAACAGCATGGAGGAACTTGAGGATCTCCAGAGGAACGTGACTGTGAACTATGGTATTTTTCTTCAAAACATGGAATGTACCTAACTTTTAGATCTGACCACCGCCACCATAACACAGTCTGTTATGGAGGCGGTGTCTATACTGTCTATACTTTTTCCAGAATACATCAAGAAACATTGGATGACCGACACGTTCTCTGGCTACCAGTTTCTGAATGGCTTGAATCCCATGATGATCAAGCGTTGCTCAAAGTTGCCCAAGAACTTTCTAGTCACATGGTCAAGTCCTCTTTACCAAAAGAGAGCTCTTTGGAAAAAGAAATGGAGGTACAGTGTGAAAAACAGCACTTTGAGTGATTCACCACTGATTACATTTGTACTTTTTTCTGATTTCTCTTTAAACATGTTCAATCAGAAGGGAAATATCTTCCTGTGTGACTATGCAAGACTAGATGGAATTGTGATAGATGGGAAGCAGCAGTATGTGGCCGCCCCTCTTTGCTTACTTTTCAGCAATCCTCAGGGCAAACTGCTGCCCATCGCCATCCAGGTAAGACCTCAGATCTGATATTGTCTTTAACTGCAAATGGACATAAGCATGGATCAACCCCTTAAACCAGCCAGGACCTGCCAGGGGTCTAGAGTTCCATTCCTCATTGGGAATTGTAGAGTTTAAACCTTTCCACTCCGTTGAATAAAAAGAGTGTCAAACCTTCTTTCTCTTAGCTGAAGCAGAAGCCTGAGGCAGAGAACCCCATTTTCCTCCCTACTGATTCCAAGCATGACTGGCTTTTGGCGAAGCTCTTCGTGAGAAATGCAGAATTCAACGAACACAAGCTGAACTTCCATCTGCTACGCACTCACCTGTTGGCTGAGGTCTTTACCATGGCAACCCTGCGTGCCCTGCCCTCGGTTCATCCCCTCTTTAAGGTGGACACTTTTTCCAGTTTACATAGAAGCACAGGAAAGCTTTGGTACACATGCAGACAAGAGAACTACTAAAGATCAACAAGGACAACTTTGAAGAGCACAATGCTTTCTTGATTAGGAAAGACTTGATTTAAACCTGCAATTGCTTGTAATGTACACTTTTACAAAAGATGGTTCTTCAAGGATTCTTTAGTAAAGGCAATGGTTCTATTTAGAACCAAGATTTCTATGTAAAACCATTTTATGCTTAAATGGTTTTGTGGGTGAAGTTGTTCTTTAGATTGATGGAGAATGTATTCTGTATAGACCCTTGAAAATGGTTTTGTCTACCCTTCTTGGTGCTATATAGAACCATATCCAACACATTCTCCATCAATCTGAAGAACCATTTCACAATGCAAAGAACCATTTAGGCATGAAATGGTTCCATATAGACCTAATGGTTCTAAATAGAACTGTTGCCTTTACTAAAGAACTCTTGAAGAACCATCTTTTCTAAGGATGTACAGCAAGGCAATTCTTACCTCATCACACAGGGGCATTTGCTCCAGTTAGCGCCACTGGACCAAAGGTTGATTTCTGCCAGGAGCACACAGATTTAAATTAAGTACTTTTGTTCCCCTCCATTTTACAGCTTTTCTTTTTTCTGTATTTTGAGGGGGCATGAGTAGTTAGTGTTTTAATATATTTTTGCACATCTGTGAGGTACAAATACTCCACCCCATACTTTACCCCAGACTCTTGAAGAAATACTACAGAGCCAAATAAAAGCCAGTTAGAACCAAACAGCATTGTGACAATGAGATTCTATACATTACACCTCATTCAAAAGTACTCAAGAATATGTAAACATAAACAGACATGATTGGGGAGCTTGTGAACTGTTGTGTAGTAATAATATAATAATGCGATCGTTTGCTCTTTATCTCACAGCTTCTGTTTCCTCATATTCGCTACACTCTCCAAATCAATGTCATGGCAAGGAAACAGTTGATATCAGCTGATGGACTTTTCGCTGAGGTGTATATGTCCTTTAAGATCTTTAAGATCATTCCAAAAGTGTACTGTTTTGTAGAAATGTATGATAATTAATGTTAGTGTCAGTATTCATGCCTAACTGGATTTTTTCAGTGACTCTTTAGATCTTTACCACACAGCACTCTGCTATAGGTCTAAAAGGACTGATTACATTCTTGAGAAGAGCGACTGCTGGTCTGACTTATAGCTCTCTGTGTTTGCCAGACGACATTAAGGAGAGAGGCCTGGAGAACATTCCCCAGTACTACTACAGAGATGACCGGCCTCAAGCTATGGAACATCGTTCACAAGTATGATGGAGCTACATTAAATGTAGACTGTAAATATACCAGGCAGTATTTTTATACATGTATGACAATGAAGATGTCTGTGTAAATGTTCAAGCTGTCATACTAACTGTGAACCCTCCAGGTTTGTGCACAGAGTGTTGGCACATTACTACACTGAGTGTGACGTCCAGGAGGACTCTGAGCTTCAGACATGGCTGACGGAGATCGTAGAACACGGTTTTCTGAAAAATGACAACGGTGGTGTGTGCTGTGATTTTAGTTATTTTGGGACTGGTTTAACAGACGTACTGGAAATGACACTAGAATCATTTTAAGTTTCTCTGTAAATTTTGTGAAGCATGTAAACTATTGTCTGTCAGGAATTCTGTTGTCCACTTGTCTAAAATATAATTTCCTGTCCACTGTTAGGAATCCCCAAGTCTTTCCACACAGTGGCTGAACTCGTCAAGTTTGTCACCATGTTGATCTTCACAGTGTCGGCCCAACATGCTGCAGTCAACAATGGCCAGGTTACACAATATCATTTTGCTTAAAGCAGATTATGACTTTTCAAAGCTGGAGATCCCAAAGTAACATCGTTTTCTGACAAAGTGTTTTTTAAGAGTCAGAATGCGCCAGTAGAATCATGGGTACAGATGCCTGTTTTTCTGCAGAAGTAGGGGGGCAATATTTTGGTACATGGCGGAGCCAACTGTCAGCAAAAAGATAGTGTATAGTGTAACCTAGCATGTTAGATTAACACTAGGAAGACCATATCCAGATAACAAACTGTCATTGAGTCCATGTTAAATCGTTAACATCAGTGTTGATTTTATTGAATCAACATTCCTATCTAATGTTGGTTTGTAATCACTTTTACACCCTGAATTATATTATAATTTTACCACACATCAATTTAATTATATTATATTCAGACATCACTGAAAGTTTAACAGAAATTCAACATAACACCAAGCTACCTCACTCCTTTTGTAAACCCTTGGAATATCAAAGCCAGAGGTGCCCAAGTCTGGTCCTGGAGATCTACCACCCTCAGATCCAACATACATGACTCTAATATTCAGATGCCACAGAAGGCCTTCACCACCTGGATCAGGTGTGTTAGATTAGGGTTGGAGCTAAACTCTGCAGGGTAGCTGATCTCCAGGACCTGAATTGGGCACCACTGATCAAATCCATCCTGCTTCATCAACAGCAGTGGTCTCCAATCATGGTTCTGGAGATCTGCCCCCAGAGTATAGTTCCAACCACAATTTGCCGCACCTGCTAATCAGCATCTTCCCAATGCCCTGATTGGCTGGATCATATATTTTTGAGTGAAGTAAGAGATGGGGCAGTTCACTGGATACAGGTTGCAACTAAACTCTGCAGGAAGGTTATTTTCCAGGGCCAGGGTTGGAGACCAGTGATCTACAGCAAGGACAGTGTCTTAAAGAGCCAACTGGCCTTAAACAAACAAAACTTTGCATTGGTTTCTTTATTCAGATTTATTGAATAACGAAATAATAAGAAAATGAACTACGCAATAGTGTGAAAATATACTCATATACTCAAACTATCACCAGACAACTGGCTAACTTCACAAGATCTCATATTTCTTTGGATGCTCTGAAAACTGAAAGCTGTGTTTTTTTTTTTTAGTACAAAACTAAGAATATTTGTCTGCCGCTATATTATTTCAAAAGCACACAGTCACTGCATGGTAGCTAGCATAACTTTACTTTAAGATTCAGTTAATTTAACTTGTCTATTTCTTCCTCGTGGCTGTATACAGTTTACCAAAATATAGAATATACACTAAATTTAACCCATTGTTATCATATTGTCTGTGTTTCTGTCCTACCTTTCACTGCCAAAAATACTCTCTTACTCACATGATGCACTGAATCAGATTTAGCAACAAACGTTATGCATCTTCACTGCTTCAGTTCTCAAGTAAATGTTTTGTTTTGGAAGAGATTGATTAAATTCAAAATCTAATTTTGTTAAACTCACAAACTTTGTTTGAAATGGATGTCAAATGTTTGTTTAAAAAGGTGAGAGCAAAAGCCCTATAGATATTCCCCCACAAGCACACTTAAAGCGATCACTGCCTTTCACCTGCTGAGCAAGAAGTCCTCAGATCATGTGAGTCCAAATCCACCACCAAGAGGATCTGGGCCTGATGTACTAAGCCTTTTAAATCAGTTTCTGACACTATTCTAACGCATTCTTCCCATGTGTTATGTACAGAACTACTCATGGCCCTTAAGATGCAGTTTTTGGGCCTTGTGCATGAAAATGTGCATACGCATGCGAGGGAGGACTGCGTCAAATGTGGGAAGATTGGGTGGAGATAGAAGTACAGCTGATTACATATTCAGCACCATTTACTAAAATTTGAGCAACTGGTGGCTAATGGTTTTGGGTTTTTCTCTGCCTTTTAAAACCAGATACAGAGGGGATAGAGGGGGTGCTGAGGGGGCTCTGGCAGTCTAAAATTCAAGATTTCAACTGCAAAAAAATAATAGTAGTAATAATAATAATAAAACATTTGAGCTATACAATTATTTTAATCTAGTAAAGACCCATGTGTGGTTGTTTTAGAGTGGAGTTTGTGTTTTACGTTTTGTGTTTAGATTTTCAAAATCTGCAGTAACTGTGCACTATTTAAGTGAATGGCATTATTCAATACAGTGAGCCGACAACTGTTGGCTGCTTTGACCGTTACCGTGCCACATATCAACAATCTGATTATTTGCCACTCAGTTTGTTTGCATAAAGTTTGTCCAGAAGGAGAGAGTAGAACGATTATGCCCGTTAGGGGTTTTATGTGTCAGTTATAAGTATATATTGTCATCTCTACTCATTATAGCACTGTATGGCAAATTCTGATGTAAATTAGCAAGAACTGAAAAAAGCCAAGTCATTTCACATATATGAGACTTAAAATTTCAGCACCCCCAACTTAAAAAACCCTCTTCAGTGGTCAGGACCCCCACAGGGCCACCACAGAGCAGGTATTATTTGAGTGGTGGATCATTCTCAGCACTGCATTGACACTGAGGTGGTGGTGGTGTGTTTGTGACACTGCTCTGTCTGTGTTGTGCTGGTACGATGCTCTGTGGTGATCCTGTGTTATGATCATTGAAGAACAGGATAAAAAGTTGGTAACCCTCTGAGGTCCACCAACACATCTGCGTTTCTGTATGTGTTTCTCTATCTATCGATAATACAGTACACAACCTTTCAATCCCATCTTATCGTGAGATCGTACGTGACTCACATGCAGAGTTGTGAGTGATCTGCCTCTCTGTGTGTAATTGGTGGCTAGATTAGGTGCATCAGCTTCTTGTACGAATATTTTGCATTCCACCTTAGATGATGCAGCAGTTAGGCTAGATTCAGATGCCTCAGCTTCTTGTATGAATTTTCACGTTCCACCATAAATGGTGCAGTAGTTAGGCTATATTCATGTACCTCAGCTTCTTGTTTGAATTTTCTCATTCTACCTTAAATGGTGCTGAACTTACATTCAGGCACAGGATGGAACTGCTGCAGGTAAACTTAGAGGAATATTTGATGGAGGAAAATCGGAAGGTCGCTTTTACCTGAATGTTTCTTACTGCACTTTGCCATCTCGCATGCTCAGTGGTGTGTGGGCGGTCACTGTCTTTGTCTCTTGGGGGTGGCAAAACAGAATGTGGGGAGGGCCAACGTTTTCACAGGGCAGGACTAAAATGCACGCCAGGCCAGACTGTCCAGAAAGAAAATCATGGCATCTAGCAGATCTCTGCTTGCCCGTTACACAATTCAGCCCCCAAATCAGATGTGCAGGAAGAAATGGGCACAAAATATGCTGTGATGTGGCCGTAGCATGCAGCTCCATTACATTGCTGTGCCTTTAAAACCCTGTGCCTCACAAACAAGCAGTCAACGGGTGGGGCTGAGCACAGTTTGCATGGTTGGCTGCAGTCTTAGTAAATAGGACGATAATTCCTGCGCATTGTCGTTACATTGCGATCGCGTCAAGGCACATTCTGTGCCGCACCTGCAAATTTGCTATATACACTAAGTAAAGGTGTACTACTACCAAATAAGAAAAAACATTGTCAGCCTGCAAAACCCAGAAAAGACATTCATGTCAGCTTGAACATGTACTGCTTAGTTAACTGGATGATTATCTGAAGGTAAAGTGTTATGGATAAGCCTATCATGTTAATCCAAAAGCTACTGCTCTAATTTTCGAAGCCTAATTAATAGCTACTCTAGTTGCCCAAACGCAAAATTAAACTCTCCCTAGATTTGTGTGGGTTGCTTTAGTGCAGATATTGGCTAAGTAAGGTGTAGATGTTCTAATAAGTAAAGAAATCTGTCATATTTGGCATGATTTTTAATTAGTTTCCTGTGTTCACATCAATAGAGCACATCATGAAGTTGAAATAGAGAATTTGTTGCCCTCTATGCACCAGATTAGTATGCAATTAATTGGCTTCTTAAGAACTCCCAAACCTGTCTCCTCTGTTTTTCTCAATTCTAGGACAATGTCAGTTGTAAAATGTGCTTTATTAATACAGTTAACTGAATGGAACCTAATATGGCACAAATCAAAAATCAATAGCTTGCATTAATGCTTCTAAGGGTGTGTTTTCTACTGTGGCCTGCTTTGTTCTCCTGCAAAGTATCATGTTTTCTTGCTCAGGGGGTGCTGAATCATACACACAGTCTTTTTGCCACAGTTGCTTTTCTGTTCACACAGACAATTCTAGCCAGACACCACAGGTCACAATCATTAGGCACCCTTGGGCGGCCACCGCACTGTCCACTGTGGGTCTGATGTATTCCTGGAACACACGTGACCGTGTCCCAACTTGGGAAATGGAATGTCCTATCCATCTGGTATCCACTATCATGCCTTGTTCAGTCTCTGATTATTCACGTCGCCTGGCCATGTGCATACTGACCAGTGTTCACCCTCACTCACAACATAACACCTCACAGCTTATACAGGTGTGGGAGTTCCCATTCTGTCCCCTGACGTGACACTACATCACAATCAATTTACATACTGCTATCCCATGACTTTTGGTACATCAGTGCATAGCACATTATTAATGAGCAGTACATTCTTGCATGTTTTTCACACTTTTAATGGTCATAACCATTGTGATGTTTTGAAACAATGATCTCTTTTCTTTATATTCCTGCAGTATCCTCTTGGATATTACCCGGAGGAGCTCTTCACTGAGGCCCTGCCCCTTCAGAAAATGGAACAGTTCAGGAAAGATCTGAAAGCTCTCGAGGGTGAAATAGAAGCAAGAAACAAGAATCTTGAGCTTCCATATGATTACCTAAGTCCGAAGAATGTGGATAATAGTGTAGACATTTAAGAAACTGGAGAATCAGTCTGATGGCAATGCATAATCAATCTGCTGAAAGGATTCTGATCACACTCCAAACAGATTTTCATGTTCTTTTATTCTGCTTCTGTCTTCTGCCACATATTGCATATGATAATTCTTAAATGCTGCAACTAATTACTAAATTCTAGTGGACATTTAGCATTTAGAAATGAGGTAATGCATTGTTGGCTAAGTAGCAGTTTTGGGGTGGTACTTATTCTATCTGGTACCTACTTTTTCACAAGCACAATTAATGTTTAAGTGGGTTTTCGCGCAAATCAGTCTGACCTGTAGACACATGCTAATCAGTTATACATTCATGATAGGAATCTCAATCTAATGTTGTTATGATACATAATTTGTGAGCATGAACCTCTGACTTCAACAATAAAGTTACATGAATGCTTTCTGTAAAATGAAGCTGACGGTGGTGTTGTAAATCTTTGATTTTGCCATGGAAGAGATTCAGGAGACCGGGGTTTTGCAGAAATAATGATGGTCATAATGATGAGAGCGTGCCTTAGTCTCACCCCAATCTGAACAGCAGCTCAGACACACAGCTTTTATGCCATGCAACTGACCCCCCACCCCCAACAGAGTCATACAGGACAGTGTGGGACATTTGAATCCTGTCGTAAATACCTTACTGTGTTCTGCCCCAGGACATCCCCCTTAGGGGGTGTAAGGCCATTTGGTGTAATTGTTCAAACCACGAGAACAGAAATGGAGGTGGCTTCATAGACCGTTCAGCATTAATACGGTTTAACAGTGAATAACAATTAAAACAAAGGACAATAAACAGAAAACTAGAAAATAAATCAAAATAGAACAATTTCCAACAGTGGGGAAGCCAGAACTAATGTTTTTAACTCTCACCACTTTAATTTTGAATTTAATCTTGATGTGAAAAAGACCAACAGGTAAGAGAAATTTCATAATTAATAATATAATTATATTTTAAATAGACATACTGCACTGTGTCTGCCATTGGACCTATTCACAATTATAATGTAGCATTATTACAGTTTTGTAAAACACTTCTTTAATAACCATTAACATTAGCTAGCTATCAAATGAGGCTACAGCTTAAGTCTTTTTTTAGATCAGGGTTAAAGCTTGCAGTATCAAGCTGGCAGTGTCTTACATTATCACAGGCACTCTGCTTAATTAACCTTAGAACACTAGAAAAGTGAATCTGAGGCACACAAATGATATCACTGACTGCACAGTCACATATGGATATAGACCATAGTTGCTAAGAAACATCATTTAAAAATAATGGTAACATTTTATTTTAACACATATTGGAGGTCTTGGGCACGTTCAATCTCAAAACATTTTGCCTCGTTTTGCAACGTTTTGTCGAAACAGTGCACAATGGGACCAGAACCTCAAGGAAATTGCCAGGGTAAGCGTGTCCCTCCCTGTGGGCTGCTGCAGCTACGTGTGAGGAGTCTGTGCAGATATTGCTGTCAGAGCCTCAAGCCGGTCCGGCCTCTCCTCCGCCAACCCTTCACTATCATCTGTAAGAGCATGCACATCAGTCAGCTCTGAGCAGCAAGTAAGAAAGTAAAGGTAGGGCTTGGCGATGTGATGATATCATTATTGTGCTAATGCCACAGTATAGGCAAAAGTTTGAACACTCCAGTCAAATTACATGTTTTATTAGTTTTCTAAGTGAAAACTAGTTTACACATCCTCTACAGAGAACACATGTAAATATGGCATTTTTATGCAAATTTTAGTGCACAATTTGTATTTATTTGCTTAAGTTTAAGAGACCCTTATTAGTCTCTTAAAAATCTCTGCAATCTAACCCATCTGTGCAGTGAAGCACCACATACACACTACTGAACACACACACTAGGAGGCAGTGAGCACACTTGCCCAGAGCGGTGGGCAGCCCTTGCTCAAGGCACCTCAGTCATGTACTGTCGGCTCAGGGGATCAGACCAGCGACCTTCCGGTCACAAGGCTGGCTCCCTAACCTCCAGCCCACGACTACCTTAGATTAAGATGTTAGAAATAATAGAACATGATACTGTGCTTATGCTCAGCTTATTTTATTTCGGAAGACAAGTGAAGCATTACAGCTTAAGTTCACCTCCATAAACTGGAAGCAAGTGAAGCATCAGCAGCATTAATGCACCCTTCGCTCAGCACTTAAACTCCAGTCTTACTGGAGAAACTCACCAGGATAACTGACCATTTTCCTCATTGGAGCAAAACAAAAGAAACACAGCTCTCTCTATTTGACTGATTTTTAACAGCCTCTGCAGATAATACTAGTGCAACATTCACCATGAGGCTGAAGTTGACTCTTTATTCATCGGCTTTATGTTGGAATTTGTCATTCCACCTTAAATGGTGCCGCAGTCAGGCGCTGGAACATAACTGCTGCACCATTTAAGGTGGAATGGAAAAAAATTTCAATAAGAAGCTGCTGGAGAAAATTTTGGCTTCATACATTCACCATCATTTTGCTGCCTTTTTGTGAAGACTTTGTTCAGCTCGGCTTGACTCGGGACTTGAGTGCGAAGACTTGAGGCTTACTTGTTACTTGCAACTTAGTGACCACCTCTGTGAGTAATTATCATGAGATCTGTGATTTAAATCTGGTAAAAATCTGCAATGTCTGTAGTTTCATTCTGGAGAGAACATGAACTCTCAAAAGTACCTCTCACAAGATGGTGGAGTGTGGAGAGTGGTCTCGTTGGATGGCATTTAAGTGAAATGTGCCCACTTGACCAGCCTAATGCTACTCTTGTCTGGTTGTAACTAGAAATGTGTTTTGTTCTTTTATTGGTTGGACCAGTTTAATTCTAGTCTTAATGTTAAAATGAACATCCAGGCTATGATGTTTTTTTAAAGCAAATGGACAAATTCTGTGGAAAGTGCAAATTCTATTTATTCAATCTGTGTTTTATATTCTGATTTGAATTTGATGGAAAGTAATGTTGTGAGTACCATTTTTTATGCAGAAAGAAAAAAACATTTTTGGCCTTTTTTGGCAAAAAACCAATCATAAAAATGTCAGATGTGCAGCCTCAAAGAGATTGTGAATAGAATGTAAATGTCATTCATTGTGTAAGTAACCATAATTAATTGCAGAATTATCCAATTAATATAAATATAAATAATTGTGTTGTAAATCAAATGTACATTGAAATGACAGTAATAACTACACTAATCAAGATTTACAACTGAGCAGTAAATTCATTTTTCAGACAGGTTAATACAGTTGTTGCTGTCCTCCTGTGGGCCCTGTTTCTGTCCTGTTCTGCTCCAGGATCTGATTTTACAGCCCCTGATTATTTTACTCCTGTCAGGTCGACTCATGACACATCAGGCACTGGCACGCAACACAAATGTGAAATGGCTGTGGGCTGTTCAGAGCTCATTTGCTAACCTCTAAAGTTTTTGCAAATAGAAATCTTAATTCAATAAGCAAACTGTGAAATTAAATTGTTTCTTTATGTCTCAGAAGATCTAAAAAATTCATTTGATGTCGAGTCTCATGGCAACGTGTGAAGAAATCTGCACAGCTGTCACTTCACATCAGTGAGTATGACACATAGCAAAGACTAAAGGCTTCATTATGTGGTTATGATCTCGAAGTCATTCTGATGGTTTTATTGACTCTCATAACAGGTTCACCAGCCCTCCTCCTGATCTCCTTTTCCTGAGTTTATTGCTAACCCCGGCTGCAAGATATGGACATAAAATGCGATGTTGGATGTTGAATATCACGATGATGATATAAGAAGTGATAAATTATTAAAACAACGTGCCTCTGACTGGAGGTGCTGCAAGCACTGACTATTTTACTGTGTAAACAGAAATTTAACATAGAAATCCAACATCTAAACTATACAAAACTACAAAATTGTATGTACCGTTGTGGAAAATAAAAAAATATAACACTAAAGCTGCATTTCCACAAAAATATCATTCTGTACCTCATCTAGTTGTACATAACAGATGGCAGCAAATGAGAGCTTTAGCTCAGTAACTCAAATTAACATCCTTTTTCATTTTTTAGCTAACCAGCATTTTCTTCCTAGCTTGTTCATACATTGGTTTTCTGCAGGTCTTGCCACTGCTGTCCTTCTTCACATAATTCACATGAAAACTGCAAAAAACACAGTAATAAACTCTGCCAAAAATAATAAGGTGACCAACGGCGAATGACAGTTATATAATAGCTCACGTGCTTAAAGCTAACTAGTCACTGCATTTATACATTGAATAGTCAAACTGAGCTGCGTTTTTTTCAAGTTCCATCAATTCATTTTGTAAGTTTTAAATAGCCAACGATAGCTCATTCCAAAATCCTCTGCAAGCATAGTTGAAGAATTCATTTCAGACAGAAATAAACCAGCGCCGATCTGCCAAGCTATCACTGAAGTTTGCTTCAGGGGAGCATTGTGAAACCGCAACCTGATGTTGCCAGCCACTCAAGAACAACCAGAAAGGTCTGTCATTTTCTTGAGAGGCCGACTGCTGGTAGTCTGCCATGCCCATCCAGATCCGGGTGATGGTGACGCTTTAGGGGTTCATCTCATCAATAGCACTGCTCCTACCAGGGATCCTTCATTTAACGGACACACAGCACCAGGGGCTCTCACCCTCTACAAACAACACAGTAAAGCACCCTTACTTCTGTATATGATTCAGTCTCAGCACTGTGTTACTCTGTCTCTCTTTGAATCTAAACTGTTTTATTTTCTTGTCCATTGTATCCAGTGAGGTCACTCTTTTGAAATCATTGTAGTGACCCACTACTGGCTGGTGCTAACCTCCAGATGCTTGAGAGGCATGGCAATCAGCGAGGCGCATGGCAGTGCGTGCCAGGAAAAGGGACTGTTGTTTATGTTGTTGTTCGTCAGTTAAAGGTATGTAGTATGTGTTTGTTGCGCTGCCCTGTATCAGGGAGTTGGTTTAGTTTGTGTGAGTTAGTGTGGGTTTAATTAGTGTGGGTTGTGGTGGTCACAGTGAGGGTGATGGGTAAGACCATCAGTGCTTTGTATGTGCCTTCCTGCCTGTTGTTTAATAAAAAACACCTCTCGCGGTGGAATCATGGCCTCATGGTGTTTTACTTGATGCCAACGCTACAGAATGTCACCCAACATGATCATGTGATGTTTTACTGGTGTTTTGATTGGCTGTTTCAATAAATGATTTCACAAAGTTGAGATGGTTGCCACTGTCACGGCTGATGTTTAAAATGAGCTGCAGGATGCTTTATATTATGCAACTCAAATTCACTTTAGTTTCTTGTAGGTTTTAAGCAACTAAAGTCACATGTTAGTTTCACCTTGTAAAGCCAGCCTAAGGCTTGCTGTCATCTACGTTTCTTCAGGCCTTAGACTAGACTTCAATGCAGCACTTTTGTTCTGCAAAACTAAACCTGCTGCATTTCATTAAGGCATAAAGTCAGGGCTTGATGGAACAACCAGCCAGTGGAGAAACTGCAAAAGATAGTGAGACTCTTAAAAATCCTGAGTTTTTACAAATCATACAAATCATGAATGATCTTTTCACCTCTGCGCCTGTGTAGCACATTTATAGCATGTTCTCTTTTACAAATACTGTGGAAGCTGGTTAAGCAGGTTTGATGGAACGACCAGCCATTGAAGAAGACCACCTCTTCCAACTCTGACCTAATACTTAGGTTTGTCTATGGTAGATGATACAAGAGTTCATTTTATTTATTGTTTTTACTTTTTAAGTAACACAGAATACAAACATGGTATGGTTATACTAAGAGGCTCATGAACCAGCATCAAGAAGTAAGAACACAATGCTTGGTTTGCCAGGTCCTCAAAAAGGGCAAACACGTCGGTTTATCAGTGAGTTTATCAGTGGAGGAATTTGACTTATCTAAGACAAGTGAGGTTTTTCTATCAGGCACCTGTGTTTATGGACTGCTCCTGCAAGACACTGGTATTGCCTCTTGAATGTTCGGTTGGATCCATGTGTTGATATCTGCACATTTTCACATTAAGTTCACACTTTATATCATCTCTCAACTGTCATTCTTTACATATAAGCATTATAAGATGAAATCTCTGTGCACAATGTTTTAAAAATAAATGCTCATGCAGCATTTTTTCAGAATTTTAGTGTATTAATAGTTTGTCCCCCCTTTGCTGCAGTAACAGCCTCTACTCTTCTGAGACAGCTTTACCTTAGATGTTGGAACATTGCTGTGAGGATTTGACTGCATTAGTGAAATCAGGTACTTATTTTGAATGATTTATTCTGCATCTCAAATGACACACCAACTCACCCCAAAGGCACTGCATGGTGTTCCATCACTCCAGACTACACAGTTCCACTGCCCCACAGCTTAATCCTGAGGGGTTTTACACCCCTCTAGTCAGCGTTTGGCACTGGGCATATTGACCTTTGGCTGCTGAGCTTGTGCAGCTGCTCTAGTCTGTCCCATTCTACTGGCAGTGCTTTTCTAAGCTGTGTGTTCACAAATGAACATCTGTATCAGCAAAGGGTCCAACTTAAAGCTGAA